CCGTTGATCAAAAACTGAAATATTACTTCTGATTACCGTATGTCTCCTATCTCATAGATGCATTGCCAAAGACTTTTAAATAAATTACCCATTATATTTAGTTTGGTAGCTTTCTAAACATAGGTTTTGGGTGGGTAAATAATTAAATGTTATTGTGCAGGTAAAGTGTTTTGTGTTGGCGTAACATAACTGTTTGCACTGCACTGAGATAAATGTTTTCTCCTGCAGACTGCATAAAGTGACTCACGTAGATCTTATTCCCCAGACGCTAGCATACTATAAAACACATCCGTAGGGTCTCTCACAAAGGAAAACTTTAATATTCCCTTGATGTCTAAACTGCTATGGAGATAAAACAAAAGATTTTGCAGAGCACAAACTAAATTATTTTTCCCCTATTTATATTCTACTGCTTACTTCTTTAATAAATAGGTATGCTGGAGAACATTCCACACAAAACATGCAAATTAATACAAGTAGTTCATAAAGAGTTTTTAGAGGAACAGGAAAATTTTAAATATTGAAGTCCAGGAAAAACCTTTTTTTTTGTTTTATTTTTTTTTTTACTTCTGTATAGAGTGAGCAATCATTAGGGTTTTTACTGCATATTGGTTCTTTGCTAGAGTGGTTTACCTTCACTTATTGTCATGGGACAGGAAACAAAGATAAATCTTCAGCAGGGACACAGTCTGCCAGCAATAGCTGATGGGGGTTCTAGACTTCCCATACTCTGCATATTTTTATTGCTGTATGTGACCCTGCTACAGATTTCTCTATAATTTCCTTATATTCTCTTTCAGCTAAAATCATTGACATGGTGACAGTAGGTAAGGAGAAATCCCTATAGGCCCACCATACACTTTACAATCTGACTGTGCAATCTCCTTTAGATGTACCACACTCAGGGGCGGACTGACCATTTGAGCACTCGGGCACTGCCCGAGGGGCCCGGGGTCAAAACGGGGCCTCATGAAATGCCCCTGTACCTTTTATAGTCTTGTTTGGGTGTGCTTTGAGTGTGGGCAAGGGACACAGGGGCCCCATGATCCCCTATTGCCCGGGGACCCCATGAGTTGTCAGTCCGCCCCTGACCACACTTATGTAATGCAAGGGCCCTGTCTGACTGGATACAAGCAGACTGGTTCACGTAGGTCCTCTGGTGAAACTATTCAGTGCTCACAGAATTAAACTGGAAGGCATGAACTTATGATCTCTACATAATGTAACATGGGCATGCTGGAAGCCATTTTGTTCTTCATATTCTATTTTCATGGCTTCTGAACAAAATTTCTAACACCAGACATTCTTGGTTTCTTACAGCATACTTTCCCAGATTCTGGGGGGAGGGTTGGGTTGTTGGGGGAGGGGTATAGTGGTACCAGACAGAACTGACCAATGGTACTAATTTGCAAAGAATAATTGAGGATTCCATGTCTTGATTGATTTGTTTTTTTTCCATGAACATCTGTAAAAGAGTTCATATTAAAATGTACGTACATTGCATATAGTGTTATTATTATTTGACAGGATTATTTTTTATTTATTTTGTAATTACTAAATTAAGTCATTTGGGTTTTATATTACTATATTCAATCTCTCTCTCTCTCTCTATCTATCTTTTATCTATATTAATTGGTTTTGTTTTCAATAGTATAAATAATTATTTTAAGGTTATTATATTATATTACAGCATCTGTATACTATGAAAGAATTTAGATAATCAAGAAATCTCAGTACAAATGAACTCAGCGAATGTCTGTAAGATGTATCGATAGAAAGTTTTTCATAATCACTTAAGTAATACATTATTTTAAATGACACTAGTCCCAATTTGTCTAACCAACCTTGTCAAAAGAGTGACTATCTCTTAAGTTTAAGATGTATTGATAGAAATGTTTTCATAATCACTTAAGTAATATATTATTTTAAGTGACATTGGTCCCAATATGTCTAACCAGTCCTCTCAAAAGAGCGACTACCTCCTAAATTTATTGCATTCCTAAAAACTGAAGGTTACAGGTCAACCACTAACATGGCACAGGAGGTTGTAGGAAAAATCCAAGATAATCCTATACTGCCCCCTTCAGGTAATTGAAATAATTTAGTAATGAACATGACACCACGAGTGATGTAATGGTTAGGTGAGATAAGCTTTGCCTGCCTAGGTTTTTTGGGTGATTAAAGTTAGAAGCTGACAAAGGAGGGGGGAGACAAGGGGCAATAGACGGACATACACACACACACAGAAGTGAGCTGACCAAAAGCTGACATCACTGATACCATAGAATCTATATTGGTAATGTATAATTTTCATGTTTCTACAGGCAATTTATGCTTGTCTTATATCTGCAGCTATACCTTTTAGTATCATATCAGTTGTGATTAGCACCAGAGATGATTTGAAATAATTTTAACTGCAGCATAAATTATCTTCATTTCAATTCTCGGGGGCGGGAGGATTCTCTTTGGAATATCCCCATAGATGAGTTTTAGCCTTTAGTCAGTGGTTTAGTTGGGTTTTATTATTATACAGGATTAATATAGCATCAACAGTTTGCTCAGCGCTTTACAATATAACGGGAGACAATACAGCAACAATACAGTTCCATACAAGAAGGTTGGGAGGGCCCTGCTCCTTGGAGCTTACAATCTAGGAGATATATAACAAAGTAGACAACTTAGTGGAACATTTGTTCTTGACCTCAGTTAGATTCTAAGCTTATTGGATTGTCCTGTGTATGGTATTCTAAATCAGTTCATGCCAATGTGAACTCTGAGCTTTGATTATCTGGTTGTAGAGAGATCAGGTGGTCAATTTGCATAGCCTTTGTCATATTCTGCTGAGTTACTGACAGTTTACTACGCTGCATTGCTGACAGTTGCTTCTATTTCATTAATATTTGATAATATTGCTGGTTTGAATTTGTAACCATTAATTTTGATTAGATAATTGAATCATTAGTTAGATTTAACCACTTGCCCTTCAGAGATTGTATCCCCCTTCCTGACCAGGCCATCTTTTGTGATAAATTTAGGCCAAAATGTACAGGTGAAACTCGAAAAATTAGAATATCGTGCAAAAGTTCATTTATTTCAGTAATGCAACTTAAAAGGTGAAACTAATATATGAGATAGACTCATTACATGCAAAGCAAGATAGTTCAAGCCATGATTTGTCATAATTGTGACAATTATGGCTTACAGCTCATGAAAACCCCAAATCCACAATCTCAGAAAATTTGAATATTGTAAAAAGGTGCAATATTCTAGGCTCAAAGTGTCCCACTCTAATCAGATAATTAAGATAACCTGCAAAGGGTTCCTGAACTTTTAAATAGTCTCTCAGTCTGGTTCAGTAGGAATCACAATCATGGGAAAGACTGCTGACCTGACAGTTGTGCAGAAAACCATCATTGACACCCTCCATAAGGAGGGAAAGCCTCAAAAGGTAATTGCAAAAGAAGTTGGATGTTCCCAAAGTGCTGTATCAAAGCACATTAATAGAAAGTTATGTGGAAGGGACAAGTGTGGAAGAAAAAGGTGCGCAAGCAGCAGGGATGACCACAGCCTGGAGAAGATTGTCAGGAAAAGGCCATTGAAAAGTGTTGGGGACTTTCACAAGGAGTGGACTGAGGCTGGAGTCAGTGCATCAAGATCCACCACACACAGACGGATCCTGGACATGGGCTTCAAATGTCGTATCCCTCTTGTCAAGCCACTCCTGAACAACAAACAACATCAGAAGCATCTTATCTGGGCTAAAGAAAAACAGACCTGGTCTGTTGCTCAGTGGCCCAAAGTCCTCTTTTCTGATGAGAGCAACGTTTGCATCTCATTTGGAAACCAAGAACCCAGAGTATGGAGGAAAAATGGAGAGAGGCACACACTGCAAGATGCTTGAAGTCCAGTGTGAAGTTTCCACAGTCTGTGTTGATTTGGGGAGCCATGTCATCTGCTGGTGTTGGTCCACTGTGCTTCATTAAGTCTAGGGTGAATGCAGCCATCTACCAGGAGATTTTGGAGCACTTCATGCTTCCTTCCGCAGATGAGCTTTATGGGGATGCTGACTTCATTTTCCAGCAGGACTTGGCACCTGCCCACACTGCCAAAACCACCAAAACCTGGTTCAATGACCGTGGGATTACTGTGCTTGATTGGCCAGCAAACTCGCCTGACCTGAACCCCATAGAGAATCAATGGGGCATTGCCAAGAGAAAGCTGAGAGACATGAGACCGAACAATGCAGAAGAGCTGAAGGCCGCTATTGAAGCATCCTGGTCTTTCATAACACCTCAGTAGTGCCACAGGCTGATAGCTTCCATACCACGCCGCATTGAGGCAGTAATTGCTGCAAAAGGGCCCAAACCAAGTACTGAGTACATATGCATGCTTATACTTTTCAGAGGTGCAATATTGTTCTATGTACAATCCTTGTTTTATTGATTTGTAATATTCTAATTTTCTGAGTTTGTGGATTTGGGGTTTTCATGAGCTGTAAGCCATAATCATCACAATTATGACAAATCACGGATTAAACTATCTTGCTTTGCATGTAAGGAGTCTATCTCATATATTAGTTTCACCTTTTAAGTTGCATTACTGAAATAAATGAACTTTTGCACGATATTCTAAATTTTTCAAGTTTCACCTGTATTCTGCTACATGTCTTTGCTAAAAAAAAATCCCAATATGTGTAAATTAATTGCTTTACGTAAAAGTTATAGTGTCTACAAATAGTGGTATATATACTGGAATTTTTTATTTTTATACCAGTAATATATCAGCGACTTATAGCGGGACTGCAGGACTGCAGCGGGCATTCTGACACTGGGGGGGAACTGACTAACTGCCACTGACATCCTCAGTGGCACCAATACAGTGATCAGTGCTAATAAAAAAGCAATGACACTGTACTAATGACACTGGGAAGGAAGGGGTTAACATCTGGGGCGATCAAAGGGTTATCGTGTGCCGTTTCACTGTGTGCTGTGTATGTGTATGTGTTTTACACTGTAAGCACACTGCTTTGTATGGCTCTGCTATACAGCGCCATACAAAGCAGTGTGCCGGAACTGACAGGGGTGAGATCTGTATTGCTTACATACAGGTCCCTTCTCCGTCCGTGATACTCGGTGATTGCCGGCTCGTGGAGGGGAAGCGGTTAATTATTATTTATCATCACCAATTATATTTTAAATTACCATTTTGCATTGATTTTTATTATTAATAAATATATACTTTTGCCCATTTTTGCTTTTTATTTCGTCTTCATATTATCGCAAAGAAAGAACTCGCATTATCAGTTGATTTATGGAGATTAGTAGGGAATCTCCTTAATTCCAGATCCCTGTCTGTTTTCATAAATTATATGCTGATTATTTTTTTCAGAGCTAAAGTTCTGAAACCTCATATTACATACAGTTTTGGTAAGCCTAAAGTTAATTATATAGCAATTGTATGATCAGATTGTAACGTCTATGACACATGTGCCAAACACAAGACCCACGGGCCAGATCCGACCCTCCAGGCCATTTCATGAGGCCCTCGAAACTCTCCTGCAGTGGCGGCATCCATCTTCATTTTTGCCTTCACCTTGTCTCAGTAGTCAGCAGTAGAGAGGAGGAAACAACTCCTCCAGCAGGTCCTGCATTTGTCTGTGCAGCCACAGAGAGGCTTGTCCCCCCCATCTTAGCAGTCAGCAGCATAAGAGGAGGACAGAACTCCTCCTACAAATCCTGTGCCTCTCTGTGAAGCCACAGCACCCTCTTCTCTCCTTCTCCTCTGGTTTCAGCATACAGCAGACTCTGCCAGCTGACTCCAGCTCTCCTCTGGTCCTCCTCCATACCCTGCACTTTCTGCTTCCTAACTGTGTGCCCAGCTTTTTCCAGGCAGCAGCACAAGGTAAGGGGGCTGCACTGTGATGTAAGGGAGAGTGGGGGGACTCTTGACTACTGATGGTGGGGGGGTTCTTGACATTTGATATAAGGGGGCTGGGGTGCTCTGGACATCTGCTTATAATTATTAAGGGAATAATGCTATTCTATGCCAGTTGAAAAAGAGGGTTGCACACAGCTGGTGTTATCCACAAGGAACCTTACTGGAGACTGCTCAGACAGAACACTATGGCAGAACCATTTTCTGTGTGCGCAGTCTCTGGTAAAGTTTCTTGTGGATGATACCAGCGGTGCGAGACTCTTCTTCTCATATTTGCATCATGTGATACAGATATGGGAGTGGGCTCTAAGCCAGTCTCACATGCCCTTCACAGCCTAAATCTTAAGTTATCTCTAAAACCAGTAATAATTGAATGCAGAGGCAATTATTTAATATGATATAGAGTAGATACATTTATACAGTTGCAAGAAAAAGTTTGTGAACCCCTTGGGATTACGTGGAGTTTTGCATGAATTGGGCATAAAATGTGCTCTGAACATCATCTAAGTCACAAAGATAGAAGAACAGTCTGCTGAACATAATACTACACAAACATTAGATGTTGCCATGGTTTAATTGCACATAACATGTAAACATTCACAGTGCAGGGAGGAAAAAGTATGTGAGCCTTTGGACTTAATAACTGGTTGACCCTCCTTTGGCAGCAATAACCTCAACCAAATGTTTCCTGTAGTTGCAGATCAGACCTGCACAACGATCTGGAGTAATTTTGGACCACTCCTCTTCACAAAACTGTTTCAGTGTAGCAATATTCTTGGGATGTCTGGTGTGAATCGCTCTCTTAAGGTCATGCCACAGTATTTCAATTGGGTTGAGGTCAGGACTCTGACTGGGCCACTCCAGAAGGCGTATTCTGTGCTGTTGCAGCCATTGTTTTGTTGAATTACTTGTATGCTTTGGGTCATTGTCCTGTTGCATCACCCATCCTCTGCGGAGCTTCAGTTGGCGGACAGATGGTCGTACGTTTTCCTGCAAAATGTCTTGATAAACTCTGGAATTCATTTTCCCATCAATGACAACAATCCGTCCAGGCCCTGAGGCAGCAAAGCAGCCCCAAACCATGATGCTCCTTCCGCCATGTTTTACAGTGGGGATGAGGTTTTGATGTTGGTGTGCTGTGCCTTTTTTCTCCACACATAGTTGTGTGTTCTTCCCAAACAACTCAATCTTGGTTTCATCTGTCCACAGTATATTTTGCCAGTAGTGCTGTGGAACATCCAGGTGCTCTTTTGCAAACTTCAAATGTGCTGCAATATTCTTTTTGGACAGCAATGGCTTCCTCCGTGGTGTCCTCCCATGTACTCCATTCTTGTTTAATGTTTTCCTTATTGTAGATGTGTCAACAAACATTTTAGATGTGCCAGAGATTTCTGTAGGTCTTTAGCTGACACTCTGGGATTCTTCTTTACCTCATGCAGCATTCTGCGCTGTGCTCTTGCAGTCATTTTTACAGGACGACCACGCCTAGGGAGAGTAGCAACAGTGCTAAACTTTCTCCATTTGTAGACAGTCTGTCTTACCGTGGACACATGAACATCAAGGCTTTTGGAGATACTTTTGTAACCCTTTCCAGCTTCATGCAAGTCAACAACTCTTGATCGTAGGTCTTCTGAGAGCTCTTTTCTGTGAGGCATGGTTCACATCAGACAGTGCTTCTTGAAACCAGTAAACCCAAAACAGGTGTGTGTTTTTTAAGGGCAGGACAGCTGTCAGCAGCACATCCAATATCATCACACTGATTGGAGTCAAGGTTGGCTCACTCCTGGCTCCAATTAGCTCTGGGAGAAGTCATTAAGCTAGGGCCTCACATACTTTTTCCTCCCTGCACTGTGAATGTTTACATGTTATGTGCAATTAAACCATGGCAACATCTAATGTTTGTGTAGTATTATGTTCAGCAGACTGTGTTCTTCTATTGTTGTGACTTAGATGACGTTCAGAGCACATTTTATGCCCAATTCATGCAAAACTTCAGATAATCCCAAGGGGTTCACATACTTTTTCTTCCAACTGTAATTGACTCAATGATGGCAAGAAAGAATGTTCTGAAAAAAGATTTTTCATAATACCTGTGCACGTTTGAAAAAAATCAAAACTGTATATGGCCAGCTTAACCTATAACCAGAAATACTGCTACAGGGCGGCACATATATATATATATATATATATATACATGTGATTTTGCATTTCCGGGTGGGGGCCATTCGCAGCTGTGGCTGTCAATCACTGGGTCCTGGCCGGTGATTACTTGCCGGCGCTTGGTGATTTCCAAGAATCTCCGACAGGTAAGAGAACTGTTTTGTTTACCAACAGTTCTCCCTGTCAGCTTGGGTTCACAGCACACAGCTATCCACAGCAGTGTGATTTTAGTGAAGCACACTGACACCACCCCCTAGTAAAACACTCCTAGCACACAGTTAACCCTTTGATCGCCCCTCATGTTAACCCCTTCCTGCCCAGTGCCATTAGTACAGTGTCAGTGCTTTTTTTTGCACGAATCACTGTATTGGTGTCACTGGGGATGTCAGTGGCACCAAATCAGTTCCCCCAATGTCAAAATGTCCACCGCAGTCCCGCTATAAGTCGTTGATCGCTACCATTACTAGTAAAAATAAAAAATAAAAATCCCAATATATATATACCACCATTTGTAAACGCTATAAACGTTTATGTAAACCAATTAATTTACACATATTGGGATTATTATTTTTTAGCAAAGACATGTAGCAGAATACATTTTGGTGTAAATTTATGATGAAATTAGATTTTTTTAATTTTTTTACTGGACATGTTTAATAGCAAAAAGTCAAAAATATTGTTTTTTTCTCAAAATTGTCAGGAAATTGTGCGAAAAAAGGATGTAAATTTAATTTGGGTGCAGCGTTACATGACCGTACAATTGTCAGTTAAAGTAACGCAGTGCCGTAACACAAAAAATGGCCTGGTCAGGAAGGGGCTAAATCCTCAGCAGGGCAAGTGGTTAAAGTGGTTATAAATACCTTAAATGAAGGAAATGAACAAAGCATATCCTTTTATTGTGTGTACTTTGTGTGTAGTGTGTACCTTATCCCAAACCACTGAGTGATTTCTGTCTGCTCTGTCATTCTTCTGCTGTCTGTATGAGTCAGTTCTGACAGTCTATTCCAATACCAAGCAATTCCAGTAGACAGCCACACCTCCACTCCAGCACACAGCGAGTGATTGACAGCCTCAGCTGTGCATGTTTCCCTATGAGACTGTGTAGAGGTGGTGTGTCCTTTCCCTCCTCTCAGGTCTCAGAATACACTCAGCTCGCTGTACAGTGTGTGATATCAGATCCCCGCCCCGGTGTTCTAGAGCTCAGAGCTGTGTTCTGGAGCTGTGTAAAATGTGCACTTTGAACAGCTGTAAAGAAGAAAGTGTTACAGATTAACAGGTATAACTTTTGAAGGAGGATTTGTTTAATCTCTGTGTATCACCCAGTCACTTCAGTGGGCATATTCAAGTGTTTACCACCACTTTAAGAATGATTGCCCCTGGGAATGTCTGGCTGTGTTGGGAAATGCCTATAAACATAAAATAGCTACCCACAAACATAACATAGCTACCCTTTCAGATAGTAGCTAGCTGTTTGGCTGAAAAGTCAAGATGAATCAAAAAGAGAAATTCAAGGAGTATGTAGTAAGGAATTATGTAGTTATCTTTCTTTATTTGAATATTAGAATGCATTTCTGCCATGATTTAATCTGTCTCCACACAAAGAGGCAAATACAAAATGATGCACAAGTAAGAATCACAATTTCTCCTTGTGACATGCATTTTGAAATCATTTATATTCTATTATACAGTATACTTTGATGCACTATCATTATTCGCTTTTATACATCAGATATTAAAGAAGTAATGAAAATAAAGGAAAAATTACCATGACAACCGCCATGATCATTCATGTCTCTCCACTTAATTGCTCTGAGGTCACCTTCCCATTGAGCATCTGGCATCGATCCCGGTACATCTAAAATTGAATACATTACATTAAATCGATAATTTCAAAAGCAGATTGGCAAAAGTGCTTCCAGCATGAGAGTAATAGATGTTTGCGAATTGCCCATTGTTATTCATTATACTTCCTTGTACAACAACATTTCATAAATTATAAGGGAAGAGGAATAAGCAATTAGCCTAATTTAATTATAAAATGTAAAAACTAAAAAAAAAACATAAATCCGCGCTAAGAATACAATGTGCACAAAAATTTTAGCAGCTAAACAGTATTACCCTGATACCAGGCAATTCGAAAATTACTATACAAAAGTGCAGCGCTTATATAAATATAGTGATAATAAAAGTCCAAAATGAGAATAAAAAGTTCAAAATATGGAATGAAATCAGAAAAAAGTGGTTCCCAAAAGGCTGTGATGAAACGGAATTTTCAATGATAGCTGATATGTCACCAACAACTCGCATGCAAGGCTTACCAGAACAACATGACCCCCTGTTTAGTTGCTAACATTTTTGTGCACATTGTATTCTTAGCACAGATTTACATTTTTTTTTTAGTTTTTACATTTTATAATTAAATTAGGCTAATTATTGCTTATTCCTCTTCCCTTACAATTTTTGAAATGTTGTTGTACAAGGAAAGTATAGCTGATGTGTCACCAACCACTCGCATGGAAAGCTTGCCAGAACAACATGAGCCCTTGAAAGAGCGCTTTACAGGGGGTCATGTTGTTCTCTTAAGCCTTGCATGCGAGTGGTTGGTGATATATCAGCTATCATTGGAAATTCTTCTGTTTCATCACAGCCTTTTGGGAACTACTTTCTTCTGATTTAATTCCATATTTTGGACTTTTTATTCTCATTTTGGACTTTTATTGTCACTATATTTATATAAGCGCTGCACTTTTGTATAGTAATTATAAAATGTAAATGGTAAGCAATAGCTCAGTAGTTATTTCTACTCATACTTCACCAGCTAACCTTGGTATTCAATAATGACTGAAAATAAAACAATATTTAACTTTTATTGATTCTTCTAACCATCAGGCAACTATAAAGTGAATGCAGTTGTTATTCTATTACAAAATACATGATTTTTTTGTAAGTACCTAAATATGATTTGGTAATCCTGTGCCAGTAGATCTGAAACTGAGAGTGAGAAAGAGAGGGGACAGCACTGGGGGTTAATCAGGTTCTGTTGCATGCACATGTCCACATAGAAAATGCTGATAGGTTAAGAAAGTAGAGTAAGGAGAGGGATGACCTCATCCGTCTCCTACTTCTTTATTGTCTAATCAGCAGGCTGAGGGTAGAGAGGACACCAATGAATCTCTTCTACTGGCTCGATAGAAAGCGGTCTCATCTACCTGGCCGTGCTGTGTGCCAGGCCAGCTGTGTAAACTTCAGGACTAAAAGAACAGAAACACATCTACTGGCAGGACTCCTAATAGACTGTTGTACAAGTTGGGTCCAGTAAGGAGCATGTTGTTAAGAGAAACACCTTACCTCATGCTGAGCGCTGGAATCAAAGACAACTCTGATTTTGTCTGGTTTGCGTGGGTGATACACGCCAAAGGATGGAAGGTACTAGCATTCTTCTCCCTCCTTTAGTGGGGGTGCAGGCTTTGCATGATCTCTGTCAAATATATTTTGCATAAAGTCCACAAAGTGCCTTTGCATGTCTGGATTCCTGCTTAAGTTGCACTTTAAGGAGGAGAATCTACTGATGGCCTACTGCAAGTTGTTGGGCAATTTCTCTTTTGCGAGACGAAAAGGTAGGGGTGCTACCCAGTTATTGGAGTTATCTTGAAAGAACTCATTGTCGTCTTGAAAGAACTCTCGGTTAGGGTTTTCAGTTTTCCTACTCTGTTTATTTGCAGCCACAACTGTAGTCGGAGTGGGGAAGATGTCAGTCTTTTTCACGGATACTGGGCCTCTGCGGTTCCTATCGTTGGCCTGACGACTGGTACTCTTAGGAAAAGATGAAAAGAGACTGTACTCACTGTAGAATAAACTTGGGTCGTTCTTGGTCTCTGCAATGTTCCTTTCCAGAAGAAAGAGAATGGAGGGAAGGAAACATTGTTCTGTTTTTTTGTATGATGACCCTAGTGCGTGCGGACCATTTTTCTTGCAAACCATACAGGAGCTTGGAGACAATTGGGTTTACCCCTCTGGCAGTGTCCAGGTAATTTAGTCCAGGTAGTTTTGGGTCTGCCTTGGCTAGCCGAAGGTCGCTCAGTCTCTGGAACCCCTTGTTGTCCTTACCAGATATCTTTGGGAAAGTTTCCAGACGCATGATCAGAGCATTTTCTATAGCTTCTGGACTGCCATAACTTTGCTCTAATCGATCCCATGCAGCTGTGAGGCCTGCTGTAGGATTGTCCATGAAAACTGATCTTAATGACTTAACACATGCAGCAGAGAGAGGACCAAACCATCTGATCAGCAGCTCCAACTCTTCAGCAGCTGTAATACCAAGATCATTGATTGTAGTTCTGAAAGCACATTTCCAACTTCTGTAGTTTTCAGGTTGGTCATGAAAACTTGTAAGACCATTCTGGCTTTGAGGAAGAGGCAAGACCTCGAAATGCGACAGCCATTTGGAGGTCTAATAGTCCCCATAAAGACACCATCTAGGGAGATTGGACCATGCTGTACTTCTTATGATGTGCCTTTGATATTTTATCCTTTTGTGAGTATATTTCTTTTTATATAATAAAGAAATTTTCATAGGTAATGCACTAGGCCCATGCGCCCTCTGTTTGTTTCTTAGTATACTGTGCAATGACTACCAGAAAGGGGCAGGAGGGAGGAGTATACACAAGTACGGTGACAGAAAGAGCACCGCTTAGACATTCTCACTGCGCATTCGTGGTTCAGGGATCGCACTGAGCGGCGATCAGCGGTGCGCTGTGTCCCCCGGACACAGCGGATCACCGATCACGGAAAGAGCCGAAGATGTCGGCTCGGTCATGTGATCAGCTGTATCCAATCACAGCTGATCACATTTGTAAACAGGGAAATGCCGGTTATTGGCATTTCTCTCCTCGCGAGCTGTCATGCTGACAGCTGGAGAGAAGAGGAGAGCCGGTAATCGACTTTCCGCGGAGGGGGGACATCTACACTGATCATCAGGGCACTGATGATCAGGGTGCCCTGATGATCAGTGTAGCCCCAGCAGTGCCACCTGTCAGTGTCCATCAGTGCCTTATGTCAGTGCTCATCAGTGCCCCGTGCCAGTGCCCATCAGTGCCACATCAGTGCCACATATCAGTGCACACCAGTGCACATCAATGCCACATATCAGTGCCCATCTGAGCTGCCATTCAGTGTCACCCATCAGTGCCAGTCAGTGCCATCTATCAATGCCAATCAGTGCCACCTATCAGTGCTGCCAATCAGTGCCACCTATCAGTGCCAGTCAGTGCCGCCTATCAGTGTGCATCAGTGCCACCTATCAGTGCCTGTCAGTGCCAGTCAGTGCCGCCTAACAGTGCCAGTCAGTGCCGCCTATCAGTGCCAGTTAGTGCCGCCTATTAGTGCCAGTCAGTGTTCATCAGTGATGCCTGTCAATGCTCATCAGTGCCACCTACCAGTGCCTCCTCATCAGTGCCCATCAGTGCCACCTATCAGTGCCCATCAGTGCAGCCTCATTAGCGCACATCAGTGAAGGAGAAAAATCACTTATTTACAAAATTTTATAACAAAAAACTAAGAAAAAATTTTTTTTTTTCAAAATTTTCAGTGGTTTTTGGTTTGTTTAAGAAAAATAAAAAACCCAGAGATGATTAAATACCACCAAAATAAAGCTTTGTCACAAAAAAATGCTAAAAATTTCATATGGGTACAGTGTTGCATGACTGCGCAATTGTCATTCAAAGTGTGACAGCTGCGTGTCCATTTACAGCTCGACCTCCTACCCCTCTCTCTTTTTTCATTGGTTCTCTGGCTGTGATTGACATTGCTCCCGCTGCTGTTTCAGCCAATGAGGATGGAAAGTCCTTGAGCACATTCCTGGATCACGAAGGGGCTCAGGTATGTATAAGGAGGGCTGCTGCACACAAAAGGTTTTTTACCTTCATGCATAGAATGTATGAAGGTAAAAAACCTGGAGTCTTTACAACCACTTTAAATAGAAGCTGAGGAGTGAAAAGAAAGCTTAACCAAAGAAGTGGAAGTAGTAAGGAATGGTTACATTTCCAGCCATGTTTTTTTTTGCTGTATGTGTACTGTATGTGAGATTTCCATTCACTTCCTGTCCTAGAGACATAGGAATAAGCAGAGATCTTTCCAAAGGCAGATGTTATCATCTCTTATACAGTTGTCACTTGAACAGACTTAGCCAGTTATTCATTTCCTCTGTTCTTGTGACAACTCAAAAAATGTTGGATTTGCCATCACTTTTTGTTAAGGAGACAATGGTCACCAGGATCAATAGTACCGTAATGTGGAACTGCCATGTGGTGACACATCAATTAAAAAACATACATGGGTTCTGACCCTTCCACATTCTATTCAAAACTTAAACAAAAAGATTTTGCCCTACATACACTTTATAATACTATTACTTGGGAAGGACGGAGAACCTTTGGCCTGGAAGAAAAGCACAAACTGTCCCTTTAATGGTAGCGGCAGATTAGTGTGGGCTAAAGAAAAGTGTGCCATGGTGCCCTATTGATTGGTGGGCATGGTAAATGGTGGGTGTTCCTTAATGACATGGATAATTATGTAATGGACTGCAGGTGTTGCTCTGATTGTTGTCCTGAATAGTAAAGTGTCTCCACTCAGGACCACCAGCCCAGCATATTCATGTATACTGGCCTAGAGGGCAAACGCCCAGCTGCCCAACAGCACTCTCCCAAATGTACTTACTAAACATACCTTAGATCTAAACTCTCTCTCCTTTTATTTTTTTTCCTTGAAAATGTTATCCTGTTGAGTTTAATTGATTTTATAACTTAAAGTGTTACTAAACCCGCAGCAGTAAAATCAGTCTGTATATGCAGTAATGCATGCTTGTTATGCTCACTGTGGAACATAAGGGGTTAATCCTCTGCATTGTGTAAAAAGGCTGTTTGATCCTGTCTTCTCTGATCCTCCCCTTCTAATACTGCCCCCAATCCATCTGCTGATAGAACAGATAGATAGCTTTGGGGGCAAGCTGCAATGCTCAGTTTGTTGTGTATTGCTAGAGAGTTTTTTTTTTCTTGAGAGACTGCATGTGATCAGCACAGGGCCAATCAGCACTGTCCAGACAGAGGTTCAGGGGTTATGCGGTCTCATAGGAGAATCAGGGGAGAATGAAAACTCCTCCTACAAGCTTTACCAGTGCTCTGCTGGACACTGATAGAAGTCACAAGACTGCTCAATCTGCCGATAAGAAAAGGTATTTAGCAGTTTATATTTACTAAAATAAATGCATTTCCATGTTCTGTGTACTGTGGGAGACCTGAAATAGCAAATGCAGGGTCCTGGGTTTAGTAACACTTTAATACAAAAATAGCAGCGCTTGTGTCGGATATAAAACTTCAATGTTCAAGGATCAATATAAATATGTGAATCAATCAATAAATAATATATTTGTTTTATATATAGTTAATTCTCTCACATATATATTAATTTTTTTCCTAAGCGCAACAGCACCCCCCTTTTTTCTTTCAATCAATAAACAATCCAATCCAAAAAAAAAAAAAAAAAAAAAGTAAGACAAAAAAACGCCACAAAGACCACCATAAATAGTGTTACAAGTCCATAGTCCCCTTCTTACATCCAGTGACAGAAAAAAATCTTCAATGTGCATGTGATCATCAGCCGACTCCCGTTTTCAGACACCACGGGGTTTATTTACTAAAGCTGGAGAGTCCAAAATCAGACTCCCTTCTGCATAGAAACCAATCAGCTTCTAACCTCAGCTTGTTCAATGAAGCTTTGGCAATGAAACCTGGAAGCTGATTGGTTTCTATGCAGAAGGGAGTCTGATTTTGGACTCTCCAGCTTTAGTAAATAAACCCCCACATGTCCAGATAGGTCACTGCCTATTTACTGCCACTCGCCGAATAATATGGCTTATCTATACCTGATAAGTGAAAGCGCTTGTAAATTACTCCTCCTTCTTGAGTTTTGGGTATATAGTTAATTGATTTTATGTTGAAACAAATATTATTTATCTTCCTTATTGTTATCAATCTGACATCTTCACCTTAGTACTCTACAGAAAACTTAGAAACATTTAGATCAGACTTTGTCCTCAAAGGAGCTTACTGTCTAATTTCCTTATCACAATTGTATAGGCAAAATCTAGGGCCAAATTGAATAGAACCCAATTAAAGTGCAAAGAACCTAGAGGAAGGACACAAAAACTCTATGTAGATGGTATCTTTACAATGTATCACAGCTAGGACCCAATTCAAGGTAAGAGCTATGTCAACCCAACCGCCATGCTGCCTATGATCTTTGCTGTATATTTACATTTGCATATTAAGTGAACACAATTATGTCTTCTCCTGCCTCTACTGTCAGTGTTATGGGAGGCAGTAGTTGCACATAGAAAGAAAAAGTATTAGACACTATCATTTTCACATGTCCCTACTGGGTCTATCATAGGAATATACGGAGTAAAAAGTAGGAGCAAGTGATCTTAATACCCAAGCTTGAAGCAAAACAAGGATACAGGGATGGGTGACCTGCTGCAGCAGTTCTGGACACGTTTATAACCCAATACAGAATGAGTTTCCAAACATTTACAAAGGATCATATGTTTGCCAATCAGTTGTAACTATCAGTGTCAGGAAATAATTACTGAGGTATCTGAGCTCATATGACTCACACAACTAAAATATTGGCTTACTGCAATCTCATCCTTTTGTGTACATTTTCTAATTGTTCCATATTCTTAAAATAGAAGCTTTTCTTGTACTTGGTAAATGTAATATGGCAATACAGGTGAACCAAATGATCTCTTCCCACGCACATTTATGAAATGTAATTAACTATATCATGTTTTCCCAAACCAGTGCAATAAAGGATATTTATTATTCTCACATATAACTGAATTTAACCAATTATTTTTTTAAAAATAAGAAGCCTTACATATATTCAGTATTGAAATTTTAAATTATCCGATTCCTTCTTAAATTAGCAAGCAAATTGCAAAATTCAAGCAAATATAATGGCTAATACTTGTTTTTTTCAGTGCCTCTAAGCTATATAGTAGCTATAGGATGAATAATAGGATTCCATTGTCTAAACCTACAATTATACTGTATGTAGAGTCTCCAATGAAACTTGGCATTTTAGCTAAACACCACCCCTGTCCTTGTAGTTCTCTCATGACAGCTTCAATTTAAGATTTTAAGTTGTCGCTGTTTGTGCTACTAGAGGAGATGGGTGTGTTTGGGGTGTCATCAAGATCTCACAAAATCTGCTTTCTAGACTTACATGGAGGACCACATGCTGATTGAAAGTATTACATATTTATCATCCCTATGCAATAATCTAGATTTACCTGATTAAAACAGAATTATTTGTAAAACCAAATGCAACAAAGAAAATAACTATAGAAACTCTAAATTCCCTTTAAACTTTATAAAAAAAAATCTAATGACCAGATATGTGTTTCATTTCGTTATGATTCCTTTTTCCAGACAAAAATTTGATTTTCAGAGATTTGGATGTATATGAATCACTGAATGGACATAGTAACGAATAACAACTAATCTGATCTGAAAAAAAAAGTTATTAAAAAATTAATGAATGCATTTGTTCAGTCAGGTGAAATCACATGATACGATAGTAGTTCGGGCCCATAGGGAAATTAAATCAATTTTCAAATTTGTTTGATATTTCAGATTCAAATAACGAATGGATCCAAATGTTGTTCCATTTGTTAATTTTGGAAACACATGATGCCAGTCGACATTTTCCAATCAGCTTATGCCATTTCTCATGGTGGGTTGGACTGTTGTTCAAAAATATTGAATCCTTCCAATTAGAATCCGTCCAATTGAATATACAGCGATTTTTCCAGAAAAAATGAATTTTTAAAATTCACCCAGACCAGACCAACGAATATACGAAACAAATGCCGAAGATACAAAACGAACTCTGAAAATGAATCGGTTTAACATAACAAATATGACAAAAGCAAATTCTTCAATGAACGAATGCATCCGAAATGAAAGAAAAATATCCGGCGTGCACATGTCTACTAATGACAGGATTTGTGCTGCCAAAGAACTGGAATATATCAGTTGTCTCCTCAATAAGGAACTGGGCTGTGACGATGAATCAGTTTACGCAAGTGCGATACTGGAAATCTCAGCAGTACAATGAGGTCTTCCAAGAAATGCAAACGCAATGGCTCTGATTCACTGACACAAATATTTATAAACATTCTGCTATCCTAGCTTTTTCAGTTTGGTTTTCTAGGGCTCAGTGTCCTTATTACAGATATACAACACATTTCCATAAGATTTCACATTTTTTTTAATACTAGCAGCTTTACTCACTTTTCTTGTTTCTTCAGTTTTGTAACTGCAAACATGAGAAAGT